CCTGTCCTTGGGAAGCTGCCGTCCCCTCCACGGGCACCAGCAGAGCAGCACGGGCAGCGGGGGACAGGGCACGGGCAGCAACGGGACACAGGGCTCGTCCTGTCGCTCCGGCCCAGGGCAAGTCCCTGTGACTCAGCGAAGGGAAGGGCAGCTCCAGGGCTCTTCTGGCCCAGCCCCAGGCACATGAGCTGTTTCTATTTTAAGGGCTGGGAGAAGTTTTTTTTCTTAATTTGTCAACCTCCAGGCCCAGGGCTGGCTCCAAAGGCAATGTTCCCAGAAGGAAAAAAAAAAAAAAAAGGGAAACAGAGAGGAAGCTCTAAAGCAGCCTCTGCCTTTGCTGCCTTGCATCATTCAAGAGCTCCAGCAGCTGCCCAGGAAAGCTGAGCCCACAGCGAGCCGGGGTGCCCCGGGGGGGACGGGGCTCTGCAAACCCAGCCCTGCTCACGCCAAGGGGTGACCCGGCAGGGCAGGGCTGCCCTGTGCCGGCCGGGAGGTGGGATGGCCAGGAAGGGCCCTGCCTCCCCCTGGAGCCGGAGCAGTCTCCGGCTGCGTCCATAGGGTCAGTGCATCCCCTCTCTGTGTCCCCTGCCTCGGGGTGGCCGGGGGCAGCCAAGAGGAGCCGGGTAGGGAATCAGCACCTCAGCATCATGGCAGGACCCCAGGGAGGCTGCACAGGGCCAACGAGCCCCAAAGACCTTGCTGGAACCCCAGGGGTAGCCCTGCCCCACACCTCCCTGCCTGCCCCCCAGCACACCAGATGCCAACAGGTTAAACCCTGCCCTTACGTGTGCCCATTTATTTACATGGTGCTGGTTACAGGAGACAACACTCACCCTTGGTGACACTTGGCCATGGCAGGCCAGGCCCAGGACAGCAGGCACAGAGACCAGCACCGCGGCGCCCTTCCAAAGGGCGAACCAGGGCGAGAGCCTCAAGCGAGAGGCTCCGTGGGGGCCGAGTGCCCCAGGGCAGCGGGGAGGAGGGAGCTGGCCCTGCTGTGCCGGGGGGCATCGGAGCCAGCTCTGAAGAGCAGGACACGGGGGCCCAGTCCGGCAGGGCTGCTCCATGCACCCGTGCGCAGCGGCACATGGGCTGGAGCAGCTCAAACACCAACATTCGCAGCCACGCTGCCTCCCCCAGCAACGCCTGTATCCAGCCCTTCTCCCACTCGGCTCTAGGACGCTGCTCTGTGCCGAAGCGCAGGCGGCAGCATTTGATGCACAACAAGAACATGAGGCCGCGCCGCCTGGAGACACCAAGAAGCCAGGGAGCACTGGGGCTTTTCACAGCATTTGGGAAAACGGCAACATGAGGACCAGCCCTGCACCCTCCCTCCATGTGGGCTCAGCCACGGCAGGGACGGGTGCAGCGGGCGGGATGCTCCGGGCGGCAGGACAGGGATGCTCCGGGCAGGAGCGGGACACAGAGGCTCCAAGTTTCTTGCCCTTCTTGCAGCTGGCTCAGGAAACACGAGCTCTCCAGAGAGGCGGCCCCAAGGCAGCCCTGGCAACCCGTCCGGGGGCATCACGTGTAGTTACCAGGGCCGCCCAGCGGGATCACGAAGACAGAGATGTCGTCCCCGGAGCCCAGCTTGTCGTTGGGCACACGCGAGGCTCCCTCAGGACGCCCCGGGAGCGCACGACCAGCTCCTGCGCCACCATGGTGTACCTGGGGACACAGGTCAGCGGGCACCCCGCGTCCCAGCAAGGAGCGGGGCTGCAGGCGCCCTGGAGCGTGCCCAGCTCACCTGCACGGGTCGTTGGGCTCGTAGCTCCCCAGCACCTCCATGACCGCGCTGGCCACCTCCCGGTCCGTGGTGACGTCCCAGAGCCCGTCGGTGCCCAGGACCAGAACGTCGTCGGGGCAGTGCTCGTACTGCGTCAGGTCGTAAACCCTCACCTGCGGGGCAGGGTGCCGTGAGGGGTGCAGGGACGGCTCAGATACACCGGGCAGGCGACGCTGCTCCCACCACCATGCTCGGATCCGCGGGGATCCTGTCGGGAAGCCCTGGGCTGGGGGGCACTGCCAGACTCACCTCTGGGAAGCAGGACAAGAAGGGCTTGATGTGGATGTTGGAGCTGAACACCTTGAGGTCGTGGTCTCCCAGGCCGCGCGTGACCCCAATTGTGGCCATCATCCGAGCCTGGAGGACGTTGGAATTAAAAGAGAACTTCAAGCTGTTTCATTTTTTTTCAGGCTGGCGGCCCCAGCCTGTGGGAAGGGGCTGGACACAGCCCCAGCAGCGTGCCAGGGCTGGAGCAGCGTCCCAGCCACTCCGGCCTCCCGTGCTGGCCATTTACCTTTTTCCCTTCCCCATAGATAAGCGGGAACTTCAGGTCATCCTCCTCTATCTTCTTGTAAGCCCTGGTAACAGAGCAGGGCAGGTCAGGGCAAGCCCTGGTGACAGTGCCGGCAGGGAAGGATGGGAGCTGCACACGTCAGCAGCGTTACCAGCCGTTCATGTTTTGGTCTCTGTAGAGCATCCTCTTCCCCAGCTCCTTGGGCTGGATCCTGCGGGGAAACTCCAGGTGCGTGAACTCCTTGCCCAGCAGCTCCGGCCTCAGGAAGCCCTGTGGGAGGATCCTGGGCTCAGCTGCAGCACCGGCCCCACGTCCTGGCTCCCTGCTCCACATCCCGGCTCCTGGCCCCTCTGCCAAGCAGGTAGGGACAGCTGGGCCACAGCGAAACAGAGGGAGCTTCTGCACAGAGGCGTTTGAGGAAGAACTAGGCCAAAAGGGATCAAAAAACACAAAAGGACAAATTCTAGGACAAGCCGGATTTTGCCAGGGAAGAGCCAGGCCTGCAGAGATCCCTGGGGCTGTAAAGCTCAGCGCAGAAATCTCACCAGCCTGAAGGGAGGAGCCATGGGGTCTGACGAGGGACGGGCTGTGCACACGAGTCCTGCCGGCACAAGTGACCTGCCCGAGGTGGCACCGCTGCAACGGCGCCTGGGGCCATCCCAGCACAGCCCATGGGCATCACGGAGCCACCGACGGGAACGGGGCTCCTAGCAGTGCTGGGAAACGGCCATGGAGAGAGGAGCAAGGAGGCAGGACCCGCTTTGGGCAGAGCGCGCTGACGCTGCGCAGGGCAGCAGGCACGTGCCTGTCCCACACAAAAGCGCCCTGCTCACACCATTCCCTCCTCTCCAGCTTGCTCGGAAATAGCCTGGAGAAGGACAGTAGTCTTGGTACTTTTCCAAGGGTGTTCTGGGACAGGACACTCATCCAGCACCACCTCTGCTGGGCTGCTGCCAGGGGGTCTTTACACCTGGTAAAGTTGCCCTTGCCCAGGACAAGCAGAGAGGCACTTTCGGGATGAAAGCCAGAAGACTTCAGCTCCCGAGGGAGCATCCAGCAAGAAACTAGGACACAAGCGGCAAAGGGAGAAGCAGCCTCATTCTGTGCACTCAGCAGCTCCCTGCAGCCCAGGGCATCCTCTGCGACAGCCGAGGGGCTGGGGAAGGGCCAGGAGCCGGTGAGGAGGGTTGGGAGGGTAGAAGAAAGGTCTTTCTTACTAAAAACTGCAGCCTCTGCCTCTCTGTCTCTGGAGTAAACTCCCTGGACATTGGAATGATTTCCCCGTTACGGATGATAATGGCCCTGCAATGAGAGGTGGAAGGATGAGGTTAGAGCAGAGGATGACATGAAGGTGGCAGCGAGGCGGGGGCCCGGCCGCCCTGCAGCACAGGGGAGCTGCAGGACAGGGGGGAATGCGAGGAGCAGCGCAGAGTGACACAGGGAAGGGACACGGCAAGAGCAGGAGGGCTGCAAGGGCTCCTACGGAGGCAGCCAGACCGGTGGGCAGCAGGACCTGCGGGGCTGGCCCACAGGACCACCAGCTCCTTCGGGACATCAGCAAGCCCAGCCAGGAGACATCCCTGGAGGCGCTGGGGATCCCGGAGCCGAGCGCAGAGCCCAGCTCATCGTGTGCTCTGGGAGCGCGGCCGCCCGTGCAGGTCACCCCGTCAAGGCCGGCATTCGTGGCAGGACGTCACTAAGGGCAAACTAACACCGCAGTCAAGGCGGGGGACCCCGACCAGGCGCCCTCTCAGTATTGGGTGCACTGTCCCGTCCAGTACTTCTTGGGGGATCAGAGCACATCCTCAACCAATTTCAGTAAAGCATCCCAGGTAACTATGAGCCAAATCTTTGGGCTCCAAGCTCCCGCAGGGCTTGTCTGCACACAGATTTGTATCAGTTTTGGTGGAAAAGCTGTCCTTCTCTTGGAAGGGCTCATCACTGTACAACAAGCCATTGGGTGCACTGTCCCGTCCAGTACTTCTTGGGGGATCAGAGCACATCCTCAACCAATTTCAGTAAAGCATCCCAGGTAACTATGAGCCAAATCTTTGGGCTCCAAGCTCCCGCAGGGCTTGTCTGCACACAGATTTGTATCAGTTTTGGTGGAAAAGCTGTCCTTCTCTTGGAAGGGCTCATCACTGTACAACAAGCCCTAAAATTAGTAATTCTTGTGCATTATTGAGTGGTTTGGGAATCCCTCTCATGACCGAGGCAGCTCTGCTCTGTACCTGCTGTCACCGGCGTTGGCCACGTAGAACTTGCCCATGAGGTAGACGGCCACCAGGGCGCAGCAGCCCCCGGACACACGCTGGACCGCACGCTCGCGCTCGATCTGCTCGTCCTGGAGACAGACAGACGGACAGCAACAGGCTTGCGAGGAGCTAAGGGCCCAGCGAGCACCCGAGCAGCCCAAAATAGTCCCGTGCTGCTCCGTCAGCATCTCAGCTCCGGGGGAAAGAAGCCAGGGGCTGGCGCTGCTTGGAGCAGCCTCCGGGCACAAATGGGCTGGCTCTTCCTGAGGGGGCACCAGGGCAGAGCAGCTGGAGCCAAGCTCTGCACCCATGCAAAGCTCTGTGTTTCTCCCCCAAAACCACGGGACAGCAGCACCTGCTCACCATGTGCTTGAAGGCGTTCTCGATGGCGCCGATGACCAGGCTTTCGTGAGACACCGCTTTCTCGAGGTGAAACCGCGGCAGGGCATCGTTGGGGGCCTCGCCATCCTCCCGGGCCAGGGGCGCCCGGCTCGGCTCGCCCGCAGCCCGCGCGTCGGGCTGGAGGCAGATGGGGGGTGGCGAAGGGTCCTGCAAGATGTCCACCAGGTCCCGGAGCTGCTCGCAGATGTGCACGTGGAGCCTCTTGGAGGCCATGACCGCAGCACCACCACCCGCATGGCCATCAAACAGGGCCCAGTAGTGGAAATAGAAGCCTTTTCTGCCCTAGGAAGGACAGGGGGGATGAGGAGCCCTGCAGAGGGGGAGGAAGGCAGCTAAGGGTTGGGGCGGTGGGAGCAGGAGGCACCTGCACAGGCGCTCACCCCCTCCAGCTCGCCGGGGCCATCGCGGGCAGGCGGGCACCGCCGCGGGCTGGGCCGTCTCTCCACCAAGACCACCTCGCAGCAGGCCTGGTCCTCGTTGTGCTGGCTCTTCCCTGCATTGATCACCCTGCCAGGGGGAGGGATGTGTAAAGGTCTCGCACAGCTGGGAGCTAATTCAGGGCTTGTCCACAGTTGCTCCAGGAAACCGGCTGCTGTGAGGATGCTCATGGGCACCTCTGCTCCCCCCTGGCCCCTGGAAGTTGCCACCCCAGCAGCAGCATTGCCACCAGCCCCTGCCCCATCCTGGACGTGCTCTTTGTGGGTCCCCTGCCCCAGATTCAGGCAACAGCAGCCAGCCGGAGACACCTGAGCATCCTCAGGGTCCCATCCGCACGCTGTGAAGCACAGAGCATCTCTCAGGGAGACCAGCTAGGTCAGAGAAGAGGGGGGAAGGACAGAAAGATGAAACCAGCAGAGCCTTTGTGAAAACATTCACACTAACTTGCCAGTTTATGCTGGCAAAGCAGATTTCAGATCTAGATTGCAAAACCTGCTCATGGGAGGAAGTTGTAAAGATGCATAACACGGGCACGGGTTCTTCAAGGGCTTTCAGAATGAAGTCTCAGGACACAGGAGAGAAGTCTTGCTCTCAGCACAGGCTGTTTTTCACTCTTTCCTCACCGAAGGTTCCTGCTCCTGTCAGACCAAGCGCAGGGTGCTCTTACTGGGGTGAATTAACATTACTGAGGGCTCCCAGGGCAATTAGGCAGGTCTGTCTGGATAGAGAGCTGCAGGAATGGGCAGATATCCACTGAGCAAGAAATCTGGCCTTCAAGCTGACCTTCCCCACCTGCCTGCAGCTAAGGGTGAAACTCAGAGTAAAAAGAGAAGAGAATCAGGCTGGCAGAGGGGAAGTGGAAGTCAGGTCCCACTCCATAGGCAGCTTCAATTCCCTTCTCCCTCTCATGGTTCCTGCCTCAGCTAGAACAGTTCCTTTGCCCCTACAGCATCAGTTCCCCATCTGTGACACTGGGTAGTTTGCAAATAAGTACAGAAGATAAGAGAGACAGAAGAGCTTCACACATTCACTGATGGGAAACAGTGCAAACATCCTGATTGGTGTTGGCACACCACCACCAGACATTTAAGGAGCAGGCTCCCTCTCCACCACCACTTCTGAGGAAACAGCCCATCACCAGCTCACTTCTACCCAGGGTGGTTCCCAAGGATGCCAGCCCAGGGCCTGGTGCGTGGCTGTCCCTGGGGCTGCAAGTCATCCTCCAACTGGAGTAAGGACATCTGTCCGGGGCACAGCTCCACGCACTCGTGTAAGCCTCCGCAGGGCTGCACAGTCTCCTTCAGTAGCAGATTTTGCCCATTTTAATTCCAAAAAGGGGGAACCTCCATCCCTCTGTTCCAATGCAGCACCTGGCCTGCTCCAGAAAAGGTGCCCGGATCACTGGCGCCTACTCAGCGCTGTCCGCCGAGGCAAGTATATTTAGAAGAGATATCATTGTCCCAGCGCTCAGCCGTGTAACCTTCCTAGGGACGAGCACAGCCCGCGCGGCAGCGCCGGGGCTTGGGACGGCAGCGAGCCCGGCCCCGGT